ATATATATATATACGATTCATTGTAGCCAACTAAATACCTGTGTAGAACCATCTTTTTAAATCTAAAGCTTCCATTAGTCTTCTGCCTTGCCTGGTTCGTGAGAACAAAAGTGGATTTCTTCAACTGAATCCGAGTGATGGAGCGCATACTAAAAAAGTATACACTTGTCGACACGTTGAGACTAGCGGGAATCGAAAATGTTTTCTTTGCTTTTTCGATCAGTAATATACATACACTTTGGCTATATGGTCTCTATTTTATGGCATGCGAGCGAATAGTTTCAAGGGCACCCTGACATTGTATCTCCTTTCTTTATCTCTCCAGAATTCCCAGCTGATTGCATCGTTTCACAATGGACAGAGTGGAGCTCTTGCAGTCAAACTTGCGGGTTTGGTCAGAAGGAAAGAAGCCGTGAGATTATCACATACCCAGACGCTGCTGGAGCTCCGTGCCCCCGAATCAGACAGGAAGCTCTGTGTGGGAGCATGCGCAACTGTCAATGGAATCATTTCTCCTTGCTGGGAACTGGCTCCCGGAAGCGCCCCCGTGGCAGACGTCCCGGGAGGCGAAAGAGCCTATTTATGCGTGGCTGAGTTATAATGTGATTACACGAGTATTAAAACTGTTTTTGTTGGTATTGTTTATATCATTTCTGACTATGATACACGTTTTCTGAGCCCTAAGATGATTCAACACTGTACTTTTTTTTCCTTTTTGTTAAAGATTAATTATGTCCAGAAATGCCCAATTCTTTGCTGCCAAGGATGTGCGCCTTCCGACATTGAAGAAACAGAAAATATGAATCACCACAAACAAAATGTTTTCTTTTGAATTAGGGTACTTTAGTTTTTGGAGACGTACTCTTTTTTTCTGTTTTCCTCTTTTATTTGTCTGTCTATGGTGTGGAGTAATGATTACAGGCCCCATTATGAAAATGTCCTGTCCATACAAATCAAAGGACCTGTACTTTTGGATGAACTTGAGATACGAAATTTGCTCAATGCCTTTAGTCTTAGCTGGTTGTTTTCATTCATTTTCCTGGATCGAGGGTCTACCGATCCTCTCATGGGAACTAGTGTGTAACAAGGTGCATAGAAACAGATACGCCAATAGATGCTATCAAATCGATACAGTTATCTTGTACATCAGCCCCCCCCCCTTACTCTGTCTGTCTGTCTGTCTGTCTGTCTGTCTGTCTGTATGTCTGTCTGTCTGTCTGACTGTCTGTCTGTC